AGGAATATATGTAATCGCTTTCCTCAGCTGCTGAGCTCAAAAGAGTTTCCTATACAGTGCTGGAGTAGGAATATATGTAATCGCTTTCCTCAGCTGCTGAGCTCAAAAGAGTTTCCTATACAGTGTTGAAGTAGGAATATATGTAATCGCTTTCCTCAGCTGAGCTCAGGAGTTTCCTATACAGTGTTGGAGTAGGAATATATGTAATGGCTTTCCTCAGCACCTGAGCTCAGGAGTTTCCTATACAGTGTTGAAGTAGGAATATATGTAATCGCTTTCCTCAGCTGAGCTCAGGAGTTTCCTATACAGTGTTGGAGTAGGAATATATGTAATCGCTTTCCTCAACTGAGCTCAGAAGAGTTTCCTATACAGTGTTGGGGTAGGAATATATGTAATCGCTTTCCTCAACTGGCCTCAAAAGTTTCCAAAACTAAATATAACAGTTTACATACTATACTTCCAACAAAAACTCAAAAGAATTTCCCAAAATTCTCCCAGAATATTACTCAAAATTTCACCAAATTGTGCACATTTTATCCCTCACCTCCGCAGTAGCACCAGCATCCCACATCTCCCACCCATCCTGCAGACGCTGGTCCTCTATCATGACACTTCGCGCGCCCAAAAACTCACAAACTTTTTCAAATTCAATTCTTCTCGTATCTGAAAGATTCAGAAATTTCCCCCCTTTTCCCCTTATTCCCAATATTTTCCTGATTCGACAATTTCTTGTGAACAGAAATCGAAAATTTTTCGCGGAAAATTCGCGGAAAAAATATTATATTTTCCAAAAAATGCCCTGAACTTTACTTACTATAAATTCTACTATTACTAACACTGGAGTTTCACCACCCTAGTGATATGAAAAATACTAGTGAAAAACATATTTCACGACTACTGCATATCACCGCGAATATCGCCTTTTTCACAGAGTATTACGCCACTTCACATAAAACGGGTTGTCGTGAAACTCCACTGATGATTCTCGCCGAAAACTCCCCACATTTTTTCCCAGACCTACCTCCCAAACCGTCGTAATTTCCCGTAGTGCAGCAAACAATAGTAACTCTAATTTTGAGTTTTTTCAACCATTTTATTATCGGCAAGAAAAACATAGTCTCGTCATCCGGATGGGCTACGATGATAGTCGCTGATTCAAATGGGAACTCCCTTGGTGAGTTTAGAAATCTGAGAGCATATCTTAGGTTCAAGCGTGCAAGATACGGAATAGGCCCAAAACCCACCTCAGTCCGACTGCTGAGAAAAACGCCAACAACAAAACCATCATCGCGATCCACCCAACACCTCCAGAAGGAATCATCCTCAGTGGGAATAGGGAAAAAGTTGAAGAAAACAACTACAAATACGAGGCAGTGGAAAGGGGGGAATATATGCACATGGTCAACTACATGTGTTGATAAAAATATAAAAATTCTGAGAAAATTTCGGGAAAAATCGTTGGTTTTTCTAACGCTTCTACCCAAATTCCTATGTGGATTTTCATAATGTATTGAGTAAACTCACGAGCTCAGTTGAGGAAACCAAACACGTGTAACCCGAGACCCCAGGTTCGATTCCCAGACGCGTCAACTCAACACCGCAAGCAGTAACAATATTCGTCTTTACCCTACTGCAACTCCTTCCAAGACCGTATAACGATCATACTAAATCGATTTAATGTAATTACGACGTTCATCATCATCAGCTCGGGCGGTCCCGTTTATGCTATCGAGTAGTGACCACGCTTACTAAGCTGATGATAATATTCTTCACCACTGGAGCATGAAGATTCCAAAGGACGACCTCGTTTACGTGACTAAAGGGAGAAGAGAAAGATACGATCTTGTGCATGCGTGCAAACCACATGTATATGATATCGTTTATACTTCCCCACTTCGGCGCGAAAAATTCCGATTACGGAATTTTTTACCCATCAACCCATAATCGTCCGTTTTCCACAAATCAAACGATTATTACCTGCACTTCCTCATCAACTTCCATCACCACCGCGCCCCTCTGCTCGATAATATCTCTCTGTGGTTGAGGAATCTGTGTCGGCTGATGGGCCCTCGGGAACCACCACGTCGCCATGCTCGGCCTCATCGTCGCCAACACCGACACGTCATCAACTGCATGTCCTTCAGCCGCCGCCGCTGGCGCAATAGTAGTGCTGTAGGTCATCAATGATAATAATATAAGATAGCAGTGGAATTACTCTACTTAGTTAACTACAACAACACCGAGCAGGTAATCCAAAGATCCCCGGTTCGATCCCCACAGAACACAACTTTTCCAAACTATGAAACGCCTAACCACGACTACTACTATTTACTACTCCCAGCCGCTACTGCTTGCCTCTTTCGAGGAGCCTGTTTAGCCTCATCTCTCCCTCTCTTGCGAGTCTGAAAACAACAAAAAATATTCAATTAAGTGAAGTGGCGTAATACTCCATGTGTAAAACGCGATATGAAGTGAATTGAAAACACTTCGCGAATAACACCGGACAAATCACTCCGTAACACGTGAAACACATCACGAAATTCTCTGCTCACATGCGGTTTTTTTTGCGAAATTAAATGTGAAACAAGTTTCACAAAATTTTCAAATTTCGTGGGGCGTGAAAACTTACATCAGCAACCCTAGTAGGCGTTAGCCACCACGCTGCCATGCTCGGGTGAGCCATCCTGAGCTTCATCTCATCGCCGAGATTTGCGCGAATCTTCATAACCTCCCCAAACCTCCGTCGCGTTTCATCGCGGTAATAATCGGTTAATCCTAAAAACGTCCCTACCAGGGATCGAACCCGGATGATTGGCAAGGCCGCCCACCTCTTCCTCCCACATCACTATCACGACCATACTTTTTCCACGCCTCGCTGGCCCTCACTGTGGCGGTCTTATCCGATGGCAATTCGAGCAAGTACGGTACCAAAAGACTCCGATTTCGCTCTTGCCGAATTTCAGGTGATCTTATCAAGTACCTAAACCGCTGTCGCGTTTAAAAATTAAAAAAAAATCAAAATTTATTCAATTTATCTTAATTTCGAACATTTTCCCTGAAATTTTCTGGAAATTTTTATAACAAATTTTCCCAAAAAAACTCTCGCAAACTTAACAATTCGATTCTAGTTTTTTAAATTTTCTCCAGAAATATGAGGAAATAGTGACAACCCCTGTACACAACAGAACACCGCGAATCGAAATATGTCAACAAAAAAACTTCGCTCCGCCCAACTCACTTCAACGTAGCATACATACTCTCAAAGGCCGCCTTGGTCTCGTGGAAATTGGACAGTTGGGAGGTCAAATCGATGAGATTCTCCAACCACGGCAACAGCCACTGCCGTTTACTCGAGCGTCGCAAGTTGCCTAAACAAGAGGTCCCCGGTTCGATCCCTGGCAAGTGCAGTTTTCTATACCATCATCAACACTCTCCTCATTCTCATCGATCTCACGACTGTATGACCTGAACCAAAAACGTTGGAAAAAATGTGCGAAAAATTCCGATTTCGTGTCGTTAAAGAGCGATTAAATCAACCCAACAGAGCTAATGATCCTTATATTTTCAGACTGTCACCTGCTCAGTGTTGGAGTAGGAATATATGTTCGCTCCCCTCAGCTGAGCTTAGAAGCTTCTCCCTAATCTTAAAAGTTTACATACAAATTCGCGTAGAAGTGTACAGAAACCAATGAGAATCTTCTCAGAATTTCCATATTGTCACCAACACACATAGTTGAACATGTGCATCATTTCGCACGATCGTTTTTCTCAACCTAGCGGAATTTTTCGCTCATTTTCCTAAAACGTCCGTGTTTACTTGGCAAATTCCCACAATAAATCGCCGAGGCTCATGCTCGTGAATGCCGGCTTGCTGTTGTCCCCAAACGCCGCCGTCGATTTGGTCAGCTCCTGAGAGGCCGATCTCTCCTGGTCCCGCAGGAAGGTGTTTATCAACGAGATCAGCGAGTAACTGAGAACGCAATTTTGTGGCGCGCGGTCATTCCCATCGTTTGAAATCAAATCGATTTGGTGACGAGTAACACACACATTTTAATGGTTCGATAAATAGATGCGAATATCATCAGTTAATAACAACTAAAAAGGAAAGGTAGTCCCCGAAGATCATCTGAGGTAAATTCAACTACTAAAGAATAAAAAAAAAGAAAAAAAGAAAAAAAAGAAAAAAAAGGAAAAAAAGGAAAAAAACCTAGAGAAAAAATCTAGAGAAAAAAATCTAGAAAAAATTGGGAAAGAAAAAACTCCGGAAAAATATTTATTTTTTTCAAATTCCCGATGGAAGACCCCCTCCCCCCCTGTCCCTACTTATCAAGGCATTGCGCTCTACCATCATGAGAGAGCAGGCCTGCTTGAGTGAGATAAGCCGAATTCACCGCAAACCTGAAACACCAACGACTCCACACATCCTCCGACGCCGGTTCGGTCCCCACCAGTGTGAGGAGGAGAATGTGCATATGGTCAACTACATGTGTTGGTGACAATATAAAAATTGTGAACAGAAATTATTATCGCTTTCTGAAAATTTCTACGAGAATTCGTATATAAACTCCTGTAAATAGTGAGGAAACTCCTGCTGAGCTCAGGTGCCGAGGAAAGCGATTACATATATTCCTACTCCAACACTGTATAGGAAACTCCTGAGCTCAGGTGCTGAGGAAAGCGATTACATATATTCCTACTCCAACACTGTATAGGAAACTCCTGAGCTCAGGTGCTGAGGAAAGCGATTACATATATTCCTACTCCAACACTGTATAGGAAACTCCTGAGCTCAGGTGCTGAGGAAAGCGATTACATATATTCCTACTCCAACACTGTATAGGAAACTCCTGAGCTCAGGTGCTGAGGAAAGCGATTACATATATTCCTACTCCAACACTGTATAGGAAACTCCTGAGCTCAGGTGCTGAGGAAAG